TCTGCAGTAAAGATGTTCTGTGACAGCTGTTCGGCTTTTTAATCGTCCTCTCCAGCTGTGTTTCTAAGCCAAAGGTTTGTAAACTGTTAATAGACAGAAGGCATTCAGAATTATGAGCATTTCAAATCAAGTCTTGCAAAATCTGCTTTAACTTGTTTACTATCTTCCCTGCACCCACTTTAACAAAAGCAAGCTTTATTTGTAGGCACGCAGAGAAAGCTAGTAAAGAAACCATCTTTATTTGTGGGGATTTGTACTTTGTTGTAGTGTAAGCTAGTTTATTATGTTTATAAATGGTTTAAACAGTTTAAACTACATTTTTATGTTTTCTGAAGAAAATATGTGGTGCTTGTTTGCACAGAACTTGCCACCACGATGTGTGTTGCTATGTGGTTTCTAAGTTGTTCTGAATTTGTTTTGGCACGTTGCTGTGTGGTTGCTAGGATGGTTGTCCAAGTCTTTAATATATTCATGCTTATGGTGTTTTTGTTTTTGTTTTTTGATCATTTTATGGCCACTAGTTGAAAATCCTAAGTGAGATTTAAGGTATTATTAGTCTATCACATTAATAGTTCAGTAAAAGTGCTAGTTGCCTTAGCAAAAGTGTTATCTTAGTAATATTTATATAATATTATATAATATAAAATTATATTATTATTATAGTAGGCCATTTATTAATATTTGGCTTTTATTTTCAGTTTTTATTTAAAATTGTAGTTTTTGACATTTTGTAATGGGCTTTTGTCAGTTTTATTAGTCCATGTGTAACTAATATTTAATTAAATTAATTATTTTGTTAAATATTTTATATTATACATATAATAAACCAAAACTTATATATATGTTATATACATATATATTTTATATTATGTATATACAAGTTTTGGTTTATTTTAACTGTATTTCAAATGCCAAAAATAATAATACTGCTTAGCAAGCACAATACTAGACTAGTGATTGGTTCAGTAATCCATTTTATTGTTTTCCTCTTTGTTTTTGTTCACTCTAACATCTCAGATCTATTGGTCACTGTACACTTGTCAGCTCTGTGATTGTGGGTGGAGTCAAGCTCAATGCAGTCTCTCTTATTGCCCTCCCATTGGACAGTGCAGAAAGGAGGTGTGGCATACAGGAAGAGGGCGGTCCCAGTCAGACCGGGAACATCTGTCTGTCTGTGTGTGTGGATGGTGCACTTATTCAGATTCTGAGCTCAAGCTTACAGTTGTAGTCATATATTAAAATATTCAGACTGCTTTTACTGTAAATCCAGTGGAGAATTAAACCCAAGGCCATGCTGTTTAGAAGACTCATTTTTTTGTGTTGATCTTGTGGAGTAGAGGGAGTTTCGCCTGCTATTTCAGGACCAGATTTGATGGTGAGAGATGTATGAGCCGTTGCGGTCTGCGTGCTTCCCACACCGCAGAGTTCAGGGCTGAGATCAACACAGCTCTGGCTGTCTGGATTTCACGCGACGATGTGCTCTTGACATGCCTTTTTGAGAGGTGAGCGTGCTGTCTTTGATTTAAAGAAATCAAAATGTGAAGTCACTTTAACATTGACATTTGAGGATGTTTGTCTCTGCTAGCGTAGCTCTGTTAGAGTTTGTTGTGTGGGTTGCCATGTGAAGATACATGGATCGCTGCCGATAAGCTTTATGCATACTTACTCTATGGCCTCAGATAAACTGGTGTGTGTGCTTTTGTCTTTTTTTCGTCCCAGGCCCCTAGCTAAGTGAGTCAGGTGAAACAGCCGTAAAGTTCTGACCTCAGCTGAGGAAGTATTATGAATGGAATGAGACTGGTGTGCATTTTTTCTGTGGGTGTGCCACATACTTACTAATAATTACATACTTAATCAGCTATACATAAACAGCCTGTCGATGATTTATTAATCTAATTTGTTACTGTCCTCTTTGATTTATGTGTGTGCATTTTGAATGTTCTGATCTGTTTTTGTTGGATGTAGGTCAGAGGTTAGACGTGTGTGTGTATACGTGTTCACATGTTTACTTCAATACTATGAGGGGCCGTATAGGCCATAACTATTGAAAAGCCTCTTACAAACACTAGTGAAATTAAAAACATTGATCAACCTTAGTGAAATTCATTCATACGCATTACTGAAAACCTCTTACATATACTAGTGAAAACACTGATCAACCTTAGTGAAATTCATTCATATGCATTACTGAAAACCTCTTACATACACTAGTGAAAACACTGATCAACCTTAGTGAAATACATTTATATGCATAACTGAAAACCTCTTACACTAGTGAAAACATTGATCAGCCTTAGTGAAATACATTCATATGCATAACTGAAAAATCTTACATACACTAGTGAAAATACTGATGAACCTTAGTGAAATAAATTCATATGCATAACTGAAAAACCCCTTACATACACGAGTGAAACGAAAAGATCAACCGTAGTGAAATTCATTCATATGCATAACTGAAATAAGTAAAGATTTCAGTAGATGATGAGAGCTAATTTCACTTGAAACTGAAGCGGTCTCAACACTTCCATTTAATTTGGCGCGTGTCTCACAAACTCTTCAATGGCGGTTAGTCGTAAGTTGTCTGAAGCTATTAGTAATATAAACAACATTTTACCGTCGTCAAGTACAATTCCGAAAGTGGGATAAAACAGCATGATGTTACAGAGCTCACGCCATGGTGACCTGTCATCGGCACAGCTCTGCGACTCGACAGCGCGGGGAGGACGTGTTCGCTAGAGCCACTGAACTGACAGCGCAGCACGAACATTTAGAGTTCATGTGTTTTTCCCTGCACATAACAATGATTTGAAGACCAGTATTAAGTTACAGCATTGCAATGGCGTTTAGTCGTAAGTTGTCTGAAGCTATTAGTAATATAAACAACATTTTACCGTCGTCAAGTACAATTCCGAAAGTGGGATAAAACAGCATGATGTTACAGAGCTCACGCCATGGTGACCTGTCATCGGCACAGCTCTGCGACTCGACAGCGCGGGGAGGACGTGTTCGCTAGAGCCACTGAACTGACAGCGCAGCACGAACATTTAGAGTTCATGTGTTTTTCCCAGCACATAACAATGATTTGAAGACCAGTATTACGTTACTGCATTTCTTTGACTTATTATCATTACTACATGTAAATAGTAGTGTTACCTGCTTTGAATAGGCCGGAAAGCTGCAAAGCACTTAATGATTTACAATACCTAGTCCTCTTAGAATTAAAAATCGCCTGCCTCAAGCTGGGCAGCCACCAGCCAGTAAGGTTCTGACCCGCCATGGTCTGCCTGCTTCAGAGGGTGCCTGGAGCTTAGAGTCCTATAACTCAACAAGCAGATCGTCAACCAAGCACCAGGCAAGCAACAAAAGAAGAAAACCAAGTCACCAGCCCTCCGGATCGGAAGCTGGAACGTACGGACCATGTGGCCCGGACTGACCGACGATCTTCAAGAAATTGACGACGCTTGCAAGTCTGCAGCCATTGATCGTGAACTGCACAGACTTAACGTTGATATTGTAGCCTTGCAAGAGACACGACTCCCAGATAATGGATTCCTAAAGGAGGAACACTACACCTTCTTTTGGCAAGGGAAAAGTGCAGATGAACCCAGAGAGCATGGGGTAGGCTTTGCTGTGAGGAATACACTGTTACAGATGATAGAACCACCAGCAGATGGTACAGAGAGAATCCTCAAGTTGCGCCTTTCAACAGAGGAGGGACTAGTCAACATCATCTGCGTTTACGCTCCAACACTTCAGGCTACAGTAGAAACAAAAGACCAGTTCTACGAGGCACTAGATGCAACCATTAGCAATTTTCCATCGTCAGAGCATGCCTACATTCTGGGTGACTTTAATGCAAGAGTGGGCGCTGACCAAGAGGCATGGCCAAATGTTTTAGGTCATCATGGAGTAGGCAAAATGAATGACAACGGTCAGAGACTCCTTGAACTCTGCTGTCTACGCAACTTATGTGTGACCAACACCTTCTTCCAGAATAAGACATGCCATAAAGTATCCTGAAGACACCCCAGGTCAAAACACTGGCATCAGCTGGACCTGGTCATCACTAGGCGCGACTCACTGAACAGTGTCTGCAACACCAGAGCCTTCCACAGTGCTGACTGCGATACCGATCACTCACTGATCGCCTCCAGAGTAAAGTTGAAACCAAGAAAGATCTACCACTCCAAGCAAAAGGGTCAGCCTTGCATTAACACCAGTAAGACTGCTTACCCAGATAAGAACAGCGACTTCATCGCGAGACTTGAAGAAACCCTGACTAACTTTCAGGGACAGAATGCTGAAGACAGATGGAACTTTGTCCGCAGTACCATCTACAGCGCGGCCATGCTGACCTATGGCAAGAAGGAGAGCAAAAATGCCGACTGGTATGAGGCTAACATCGCTGAAATGGAGCCTGTCATCAACGTCAAACGCAGCGCACTGACTGAGTACAAACGTGATCCAAGTCAGAGGAATCTGCAAGCATTGAAGGCTGCACGATGCAAGTCCCAGAAAACAGCATGCCGCTGCGCAAACAACTACTGGCTTCAGCTGTCAGGCAACATCCAACAAGCCTCAGACAACGGCAATATCATGGATCAGAGGAATCTGCAAGCATTGAAGGCTGCACGATGCAAGTCCCAGAAAACAGCACGCCGCTGCGCAAACAACTACTGGCTTCAGCTGTCAGGCAACATCCAACAAGCCTCAGACAACGGCAATATCATGGATCAGAGGAATCTGCAAGCATTGAAGGCTGCACGATGCAAGTCCCAGAAAACAGCACGCCGCTGCGCAAACAACTACTGGCTTCAGCTGTCAGGCAACATCCAACAAGCCTCAGACAACGGCAATATCATGGATCAGAGGATCTGCAAGCATTGAAGGCTGCACGATGCAAGTCCCAGAAAACAGCACGCCGCTGCGCAAACAACTACTGGCTTCAGCTGTCAGGCAACATCCAACAAGCCTCAGACAACGGCAATATCAGAAGCATGTACGAGGGCATCAAGCAAGCAACAGGAAAACCGGTGAAGAAGAGCACGCCCCTGAAATCCAAGACAGGAGAGACCATCACAGCCAAGGACAAGCAGCTTGCGAGATGGGTTGAACACTACCTCGACCTGTACTTCAGAGAAAATTCTGTCTCCCAGGAAGCACTTGACGCAATCGAGGACCTGCCTGTTCTAAAGGAGTTGGATGCAGTGCCCACCCTGGAGGAACTCAACAAAGCCATCAAAGCCTTATCATGTGGCAAAGCTCCAGGTGAAGATGGAATACCTCCTGAAATCATCAAGTGTGGAAAGCCAGCCTTGCTCGAGCCACTTTACGAACTCCTGTGTCAGTGTTGGAGAGAAGGTAAGGGCCCCCAGGACATGCGTGATGCCAAGATCGTCACGCTGTATAACAACAAGGGTGACCGAAGCGATTGTAATAATTACCGTGGCATCTCTCTTCTGAGCACCATGGGTAAAGTCTTTGCACGCGAGGTCCTTGCTCGCCTGCAGGTCCTCGCCGGCCGCATTTATCCAGAGTCCCAGTGTGGGTTCAGGACAGAGAGATCCACTGTGGACATGATTTTCTCAGTGCGTCAGCTCCAGGAGAAATGTCGAGAGCAACGAATGCCACTTTACACTGCCTTCATAGACCTTACCAAGGCGTTTGACCTTGTAAGTAGAAGAGGCCTGTTCCAGCTGTTGAAGAAGATCGGCTGCCCCCCACAGTTGCTCAGTATCACCGCCTCCTTCCACGACGATATGAAGGGCACTGTCAACTTCGATGGCGCATCATCTGAACCCTTCACCATCAAGAGCGACGTAAAACAAGGCTGTGTCCTTGGGCCAACATTGTTCGGCATCTTCTTCTCGCTGCTGCTGAACTTCGCCTTCAAGGACTCGGAAGAAGGTGTTCACCTGCACACCAGAAGCGACGGGAAGCTGTTTAACATGTCCCGCCTGAAGGCCAAGACCCCAGGGTCCACACAGTGCTCATCAGGGAGATGCTGTTCGCAGATGATGCCGCTCTGACCTCGCACACTGAAAAAGATCTTCAAAGTTTGATGGACCGGTTCGCTCATGCCTGCAGGGAGTTCGGTCTGACTATTAGCATCAAAAAGACCAACGTCATGGGCCAGGATGTCACCGCACCACCATCAATCTGCATCGACAACAAGAAGCTCGAGATTACTGACCAGTTCACCTACCTGGGCTCAACAGTTACCAGCGACCTTTCACTCGATGCCGAGATCTCCAAACGCATCGCTAAGTCTGCCGCTGTCATGGCAAAGCTGACCAAGAGAGTGTGGGGCAACAACCAGCTGACAGTGAACACTAAGCTCAAGGTGTACCAGGCATGCGTCCTCAGTACCGTACTGTACGGCAGTGAGTCCTGGTCCACATACACCAGACAGGAGAACCGCCTGGAGAGCTTCCACCTTCGCTGTCTTCGCCGGATCCTCAGCATCACATGGCGGGACAAGGTCACCAACACTGAAGTGCTGGAGAGAGCAGGCTCCCTCAGCATGCGTCTTATGCTCTGTCAGCGTCGACTGCGATGGCTTGGGCACGTGCACCGTATGTATGATGGACGCATCCCCAAAGACCTCCTGTACGGTGAATTGGCCATGGGACACCACCCAACGGGTCGCCCAATGCTGCACTTCAAGGATGTCTGCAAACGCAACATGAAGCTGACTGACATTGACCCAAACAGCTGGGAACTGGTAGCCATCAACCGCGGACACTGGAGTCATGTCGTTCGTGAGGGAGTCAAAAGGGGCGAGGAGAAGAGGAACCTGCAGCTGGAGAACAAACGACAATGGAGGAAACAGAGGCAGCAGAACCAAACCTCCTACCAGTCGTCCGATTTCGTGTGTAACACCTGTGGCAAAGACTGTCAGGCTAGAATCGGACTGCTGAGCCACATCAAACGCTGCTCTCCACAAGACTGAACAAACCGGACAGGGCGCTACCATTGTCTCCCGAGACAGACGGATGCCTACTACTACTACTAGAATTAAAAATGTTTTATGGGTTCATTCATCAAGGCATTAGGTACATTTTACATTTAAAGATATTTGTGCAACTGTAGAACATACTGAAAAAAATGAGTAAAATGTACTGATAATTTTCTGCCAGGACATTATCCATTAATTTTCCATTGCGGAAATACGTACCATGGTTAATTTTCATAAGTTTTCCATTAACCCTAAAACACAACGCAATGCAGTGCAAAATTAAAAATACTGCCATATACAGTACACTGTATTAATGAAATTGCAATGTGAAAGTTAAATAAGCTAACACTGACCGTTGCCTGGTCTTTAATTGCTAGAGGGAAAAAAATCCCATATAGCCTATTTAACAATGGGATTCAAATTTTAAATGGTAACTAGGCTTGCCGCGATAGACGGTGTTGACGGTAGGTGTTAAGCCGCAACACCGGTTACGTCACTTTCCCACCGCGGCACCGACCCCCACCGTCGTTTTGATTTTTTTATAGTAATAAAAATAATTTAGTTCAGTAAAAGAACAGACACTACAATTAAAAACTGAACGCGGCTGCTCAATGCAGCGTGCCGAACGACAGTCGCATCACAGATCAGATTTCATTTCTCCAGTGAGGAGAGTGAGTCGAGCTGACTGACAAGAAGAGTGAGGTGAGACAGACAAGACGA